ACACCATACTGAAAGCAGGGTAATTGTCACTACTTTGAGCACTATTTGTGCTCAAATAGGCAATAGAGCACAAATTTATATTTAATGAGAAATAAATGTAACTTTAGTTGTATAAAATAATTTTATACAATAAAAATACACAATGTTTTTCATGATACATACTTTAAAATTTGTATAAATATCATTTAATAACATTAATATTTAATAAAACATTGGTTTGGGTCAACTGTAAAATTTTTTTAATGATGAGTAACTCTATATAAAATATTGTTGTCTCATATCTAGGATAATTATATAGGTTGCAGACAGGTTTGAGCTTTGTACAATTATGTACAGTATCAATGAAATGTCAGAACTTTAATATCTGTCAATATTTTTCAAATAAGGAACTATACCTAGCATCAACAAATTTAACATTTTTTTATTTTTATAAAGGTTGAATACCACAACCTAAGCCATATAACCCAAATGCAATACTTTTTACTAAGAATTTAATTATTTTTTACATTAAAAAAATAAATCTGTTGATGCACATTTCTCCTTGAACAGGAACAAAATATGAGACCAGAGTAATAAAAATCACAGAATTCTAGGTTAAAAGAAATTTCAGAGTTTATTTCATCTTCAGGAATTTCCTGAATTGAATTTTAAGTTCATCAGAAGTCACTAAAAGTCAGACCTCTGGACACGTACCCATTCCATCATGCCAAAGTTTTTAAAAGAAATTCTGCAATAAATACGAAGCTTTAATAGATTTGATATTACCACACTATAGCTTTTAACACAATTAACAGATACATTTGTCTAAACTAAACAAATAAATGATTTAGCACAATTGTAAAAATGTAGTTATACCCTAAAGTTCCAGCTGCTACCTGAATGGTGAAATCCACAGCTGACTTGTACAGCCCGGAGCTCACAGTCAAACCGCACGGAGCCTGGAGGATATGTTGTGATTTTGCTTGCATCCTTTTCCCCTCGTTCTCCACTTCCATCTGTAAGTGTTATAATTTGTAATTAAGCCATTACTCATCTTCAAAATAAAATTTTACATCAGTTTACAATGGAAGAACAAGAAAAATGTTAAAAGAAACAAGCAAGAAGAATCTGCAGCTGTTAGAAGTGAAAGATCAAGAATCTACCTGTAAAGAAGCAATTTTGAAAGATACTATATACTTCTGTTTGTAAATATCACTAAATCAATAAAAACAGAGATAAGATCTGGTCATAAATAAAACCTATTAAGCTAATCAGTTATGTAATGTAAACAGGCCATTAAATAGAAACAAAATTCTAAATGTAATAATTTATATGGAAAAATTTAGTTTGCAAAAAAAATAACTGCATGCAAAGTCATTTAACAATTATTTTAAACTTAGTGATATTGTTAGTACTAGTCATTAAAAAAATTTTTTCTAGTTGATTGATAAACGCCTGGACTCTTCCAAAGACAACCCTAGCTTGAGGACAGCCCCCTGGCCTTGCTGGAAGGCCAAACACAGAAAGGCTACTCTGTCCACCAGTATTTTGCTAACCTCAATTAAACTTTAAATATTTATAAACACCCAATAGCTTTGTCCAGCATATTACAGGTCAATGGCTTACTCTCATTCATCTTTCCTGTCCCAGCTGCCTCTCAGTCACTCTGCTTTGTGACCTTCTGGCCCCCAACCACTAACTCCTTTCAACCAAACCTTTCTTTTTGTCCACTCCTTTCCTCCTCCCTTCTTGTAAGTTGCCCTTAAGCATGCTTTAGGCCTTCCCTGGTTTCTACATTTGGCTTTGAATATTCTGGCATTCTAACCGTAACATAAAAAACACATTTTCCAGAATATGAAGCCTTTATTTGGAATGTGTAAACAAGAGAGACAACTTACTTTTCCTAATCTAATCTAAAACTACACATCATTAAACTATGACCTCTAGATCATCAAGAGTCAAATGCCTTGCACACTGAACACATGTAAATCTAAAAGGAATTTCAAAAGGTCAACTAGTCTAAGCCACTCTCCTGTGGCAAAGCAACTCTAAATAATGTGGATAATATGCAGATATACAGGTGAATCTACAGACAGATTTTTAATTCTGTATTTTCATTGCCCATTTTAGAACACTACGCAGAATAACATCAAATCATTTCATGCTCACATTATCTTTTTTTTATCTAATATTTCTAACCTCTAATAATATCCAGGTAAGATAAAACTGGCCTAAATTAAAGCATAACTTTCTATAACTAAATGACTATCATTTTGAAAAACTTTAAACTCCTTATAACACTAGGACAGTAAAACCTCACTAATTCGGAATAACAGAATGGGTTGGCCTATAAGACTTACCGAAAAGGTCTTAATCATAGAACATTTAAGTACAAATTCAGTTTTATTACCTTCAAGCAGTACAGATTATAGATTAAACTAAATGCTACAATAAATAAAAGGAGGTTACCTACATTATAATTCAAAATAGGCCTATATTACATTAAAAATGTACCATAAACATAAAAGTCCTTTAACATACAAGAATTAATTGCTGGACCCAGAGGTTGAAGGCACGCTGAAGGAATCCTTCATTTCTTGAGCCCTTGGTTTGAAAAGCTAGTGATTTTACACAGGTTTTCCCTTATAAGTATGACCCTGAAAATTCAGAGGAAGAAATTATTTTGAATTTTTTACTCAAAAAAGATCACAAATACTGCATCCGAAATATCATAAATTCTGAATTAGTGAGAGGTTTTACTATAATAGGATAAAGAATGTGATTCCTCTTCTGCTAAATTATCTAATGTGGGTTTGCCAAATAAAGCTGCAAGAAAGGATGTACTACAAAAAAACCCCAGAACATTTAGTTTCATTGTATCTAAAATGAAATATACCCTTAGTTCAAAGACTCCTCATCTTGGAAAGAGAGTGGAATGGTTAAATATAAACATCGGCTGATACAAAAATAAATAAGCAGTTTCCAAAGACTATGTAAATAAGATGACAGATGTGTAGAAATTTCAAAGCTTTATCTCAACTGGTAAAAATATCTAATTATTAAAACCAAATCTGATTTAACACAGAAAACAAATTGCATTCTTATGATTTTGCCAGACTTAATTAAATTCAATATTACAAGTATCATTCCACTTTATATAAATGGGTCGATGTCTAGTAGAATCTTTTACCTTTGAATTTGCCCCTCATTTCAGTCAGAGATTAAATACAAATACAAATCCTACAAGACACATACCATCCGGGAAAGAGAAAAAAAAGCCTAGCAATTTACTGATTAAAACCATAGTAATAAAAGAGTTAGAACTATAATTTAAAGGTTAAAAATAGTACTAGAAACATTTTATTCATCTAAACAAATTTGTATCCATATAATTTCTCGATTATTATAGATGGTGAAAATATTATTATAAGTGAAAAAAATAGGGATGAGGTTGTTGATCATTATAAGCAGCACTGGCAGAATTTAAAAATATATATATCTGTACCTGGTATTTGATGTCAGTTAAAAAATAAAGTATAGTTCTAATAATTTAGAAATTTATAAAAGTTTTTCAAAGAAAAAAGGTACCTAATAAGTAGCCAAAAATCTAGTGCAAATTCGAAGAATCAGCAAGTGAAATTCAATTTAGCTCAAGCTCATTATTATTCAGTGAAGTGTTAATGAGCAGCAATAAAATTAATCTCAGATTTGCAGGAAAAATAGTTGGTCTGAATATTCTTATAAATGGCCATTCAGGAATAAGCATATCTATATTTTCCCTAATGTAAGTATGTTCATACATATTTCATGTGATATTGAAACTATAATAGCTATAAAGTTTTAACAGATATGTATCTAATATATTGTGTATGTGTATATATATATATATATATTACATATACACATTATTTATATACTTATGTATACATACAGAGAAAAGAGGATTCAGTATCAAAATGACTTAACTTTTTAATTTTTACTTAAATCTACACTTTTTGGAGTAATCTTTTGGGCATGCATATCACAAAAAGTATCACAGAACACAGTGAGTACTTTGAGCAAAATCACTAAAATAAAACAGCAAAGTAGCAGTGATCACAAGTTGCTAAACACTCTGTGCTAAACACCGTGAAAAGTTAAAGAGCAAAGTGGATAAGTGCTTTGGGGCACTGGAGCCTAAGAGTTGGACTGGAATCCTGGCTCTACTATTTGCTGGTTGTATGACAACTGGAAACTGGACTTTGTAAGTCTGGGCTTTCCCATCTATTAAAATAGCAATAATGGTACATTACCTCACAAGGCTCTTACGAAGATTAAGTGAAATAATGTATGGAAAATAATCAATATTCACTACTTTTGCTTTCTTTAATCAATATAATAATCTGATAACATAGGTATTATTATTCCATTTTGCAGTTGGGAAAACTAAGGCTTAGAGGGATTAAGCAACCAGCCCAAAGTAATAAATGGTAAAGCAGTTTTGGAGTTTGATCAAATATAAGACTCATGTGGTGTTTGTTTTTTGTTTTTTTTTAGCTGAGCCATCCTGCCACCTGTTGGCAGTTCAGCGGCTGCTCAGCTCGGGCTGGGACTCAAACCGCTGTTGCTCAGTGCTCAAACTCTTGAGCGAGGTTTTAACCAACTGAGCCACTCGGCCGGCACAAGACTCATGTGTTTTAACACCAAAAATAACTGACTACTTAAATCTTTTGTAAAAATAAACTAATTACACATTTAACAAATCTCAAATTTTGTTCTTTTGGGATAATTCTAAAAGAGAAAGCAATTCAATTCAAAGAATTAAAGCCAGTATTCATGGAGGGCTTCTAGTTGTAAAAAATATATAAATATATATGTATGTATTTATATACACCCACATCTGTATCTTAATTTAAACTTCATATCAACATAATCAATTAGGGATTATCATTCTTATTTTAAAAATAAGAAAATTAAAGCCAAACAGATTAAGAAATTTATGAATGGCCACATAGTTCTAGTAAATTATATTTTTAAGATTAAAGCTGAAGCCTAATTCCAAAGGCTATATTTCCATTACACCACAGCATTTCTAAACAGAAACAGATGTAAGACACACACAGATGTTTACAAGTGTGCTTCTGGGTTTTCACATCAGTCACTTCCAGACAGATATCAAGACTATCTCCAGAGCAATTCAGAGTTCCTAACTAGGAATGCTGTATTAAAATATTTTTTTATGTAAGGTGCTGAATAGCTGAAACAAATGTTAACCCAGGTATCTGTTTGAAATAGTCTACGGTTACAATTTTAAAATAACTTACTATATGTTATATGAATATATGTCATACTTATTGATTCAGCCTTAAATACTCTTATTTTGCCTCTAGTCAAAATTTGCCTGTATAGAATGGATTCCATGACCTTCTCTGAATTCTCTCCAGTCAGCCAGAAGCTCTCCCAACTTTCCATCTTAGAACTCACTCCTGTTAACAATAAATCCACAGTTCTTACCCTCCACACACCCAAACAAAAAAGTCATAATCTAGAAAATTTTAACTATTATCATCCTACAATTTATACCACCAATATAATTAAATGTAAGACAGAACACAATATAATAAATTTATCAGTGGAAGACAAATAGGGTAAGAAAATAGAGAAAAAAAAATATATGCAGAAAAAAATAGTTATTAAAAGATTTACTACACATAGCAAGAGTAAAAATAGCATTGAATGATGAGATGATTAAATGACAGGGAAAATGAATGTAAAAGGAGATAAGGGGGAGAGAATTTGTGGGTGTATCAGAATTAGAATTAGTAAGTGATAAGTTAATACTCTATATAAAACAGGGCACCATTACTTACACTTTGAACTTAAATTTTGGTGGTAAAGAGATAAAATGGTTTCACTCAATAAAACCATACAATCTAATTTTTAAAAGCTGGCCCTAATACTATAAAATAAGTCCTTCCAAAGAGGTTACTACAAATATACGAAGAGTCTTGTTATAAAATAACCCTATGGCATACAAATGGAAGTAAGGCTAGCTACTGATGAGTAATTTCTATAGCTAATCAATGTGACATTGTCTGTTTTAAATTTGAAAACTCAGTCTCCATATAGCAATTCATTTTAAATTTTGGAAAAATGAAGATGTTTGTCCATAGATACTAACATGGACCTGAAAAAGTTTTAAACTGTTTCATGAAAAGTGAATATTTAACCTCAGGTAAAGTATTAGAAAAAAGCTTCACTTTTTTATAATTGGGGGGAAGGAGACACTGAGAAAGTCTGTTCTAACAGTGAGTGGCATAGTAGAAAATATGAGATCAGAGATTCTGGCAATAACTAAAATAATTTACATAGCATACCCAAAATATTGTTCCTTGTATTTAAATATTTATGGTATTGTTAGAGCACTCTGTAAATAAAGCAATAACAAATTTTACTATGGTTAATAACAATAGATTTAAAATACTCTCAAAAAAATAAAAATTAAAAATAAAATAAAATATTCTCAATTTTTAATTCTACAGAAAATACCTTAAGTAGCACTCTATTTGTGCTTTTACTAAAAACAGGGATTTTTGGCTGTTTTGTGTTTTTGCTTTGAGTGGCAAACTGATAACAAGAGAGAAGCAAATAAAATTAAGTTTATTATATTATATGTGAAAGTTTAAAATTAAAATTAGCCTATCATTATACAGTCATACAGCAAAAAAATAAAATACAAAACATCAGTCAGGTTAACGTGACTAAGTGGAATATTTGTTTTTAAAATTTTCTATTCTATTTGGTGAAACGTATCTTACACAATTTATAAACTCTCTGTATTAAATTCTTTCCTAATTTTAGTGGATCCATAACCAGTGGTTTAAAAGAAAATAAGCATGATTTAGGAATATTTTTAATTAATCCATAATTCTGCTACTCAAAGAATTGTGCATAAACAGATTCCTAGTCAGTCACAGACTTGTTCAGACTTTTGACAGTTTCTGGGGACTACAGGTCTATATAACTCACTTTGCTTACACCTATCATATTTGACCCTCAAATATCAAATGAATCATGTGTTGTGTATATAAACTTTAATATCAAAACAATGGAAAAGTGTCATAGCAGTCAACTCATTACTTTATACACTGAATTTAGTAATTTTGTTAATTCTAAAGCAAATAAACAGCATTAACAAAAAAAATACAATGCCAGATGGTAGTCATCTAAGAACAGATAATAAAGGATACAAACAGAAAGCAATTATTGCTTTTTTCCACCTTCCCTTAACATTACTAAATTTGAAAAGAAATGGGGAAAAAAAAGATAAACTTTAAAATATGTCCTTAAAATTAACAGAAAAAAAAAAGAAATAAAATTGATAGTCACTGACAAACAGTACAACTTTCAACATGTTCTTTCTCCTCAGGCTATATTAATAATGACAGAAGCAAAGTAGAAGAATTAGGGTTGTGCATTTTCCCAGAGACAAAATTCAAATGAGTGGAAGAAATTGGGAAAGTATCCCACCTAGTTGATAAGGAAGTCCAAATACCTTTGTGCTTGTCCCGTTTATGCTTTAGCTGTGCTGGATGGGATCTGAGTCTGGCTAGAGCCTGTTCTCGATGATTCATAAATATAGGACCAGCAAATACAAGGGGGCCTGAGGAGAAACATTTTGTATGTGCATAGAAAAGCTCACAAAATGAAAACACTACAATGAACAAAAATAATTCAAACTAAAAAGCATGGAAATTTACTCTTTACTATTTTGGACATTATACTTTTCTCCCAAACACCCCACGTTAATCCTCCACCCCCAACCATAACCTGTTCACCATTCCATACACAATTTTAATATCTTAAATAACTTTAATATTTTATAGTTACATAGCAAAAATCTTTAATACATATAAAATTATCAGGCAGTTACTAATGGTCTCAAATAAATAATCAGAAAGTATAGTTACAATAAATAAAATATTTATCTTACAAATTTTATTTTACAAATATTTTAACATAGATTCAAACTTACTAAAGCATACATTCATTAAAAACGATACCTGTCCTATTGATGTACCAAAAACCAACTAATTTTTAAATTAATGATCAAATTTAAACAAGGTCTTCAAGATTAAATATACATAATACTCTTGCTACAAAAATCAAGATAAATGCTACTGACCTAACTACATTCTGTCATAGAGATAAGAAAACAAGATGGCCAAACACAAAACAGAAACAAAAAATTACTATGATCTGATACACACACACACACACACACACACACACACACATACACACACACATAGAAAAGCACTCTTTTATAAAGACAGAACTGTAGTTGTATGTGATTTGATTTTCTAAAAATGATAAATCTAACTTTGTGTATAATGTCTGTAACCTCATAAACAAAAACAGAAACACGGATAAACTGAGTTTCACATTTATGCTAAAGAGTCCCAGGAATCTAAACCCAATAACATTTATGAAACCTTAACCATCTGTCATAAAATCATTTCTTTCGGAAGCTCCGCTATGAACTTATGCATATATACACAAATACATACCCATGTAGATTACAGCTTTTCCCATGCATTACAATGTTCAAGGGAAAACTGTACAGCCCAATTAATTTAAATAAAATTTTAAAATTGCTTTCCCTCATTATCATTTAGCTTGGAAAAAAACTTTAAATTATACTGTAAAATTTTAGTTCTTTTCTCACAGAAGAGAACTACAGTTTTCTTCAGTTTTAGTAACATTAAAAATGCCTACAAATTTCAAAACTCTAAATTTGACAGTTAAGAAGTTAACAGTGTTTGAAAAGAAAACTGACAGTACATGAGCACTGAACATTTTTAATTAAAGCAAGTTTCATCATGATTCCCTACAGATCTTCAGCTATCAATGAATTTTTCTAACCATGGAACACGATTGAACAAAATGAAACTATGCCCTGTTATAGAATATGACACATGTCAAATTAAATACGAAAGTATCCTTCATTAAATATTTAAAAATTGGTAGAAAAGGTATATTTTAATTATGTCTCTACATAGATAAAAATACAAGCAGCACCAATTCTATGAAAAACCAACAATAATATCTTATCATTACTACAGATAGAAATATGCTAATTTATGTTAGGAGAATTAAATATGTCCCAGTAATATAGTACCAATCATTTTAAACTAGGGTTATATAAACTGAGCTCCATTTTTTTAATGTAAGAATGGGATATATTTAAAATATAAACAAAATGTCTCATTTCTTCAAAATACATTAATTTTTAATTGATACATAATATACATAAATCACTCTAAAAAATATGACAAATAAGCACACTGGAGGGGAAAGCTAGCAAACCTCGAGGGCAAGAAAATAGAGAGTTTCAGGGTACAAGAAGAGAAAATACCACACAAGCTTGAGACCTTCATGAAAAAGGTAGTGAGTACTGTGAAGTTTCAGAGATATAGGAAACATGTCTGGGGATGGGGAATAGGAAGAGTAAAGGGAAACAAGGATGCAGAGATAAAATGTGGACTCCATTCTGAGAGCTATGAATAGCTTTTTGGCTTTAAATAGAAAAGTGTTTTTAGAAAAAACACTGCATTTTAGAAAAAACATTCTGAATAGAAGATAGACAATAACTTAGAAGAAAATAAGAATGAGGGTAAGACCACTTACAAGGCTTTTTTGCTGTAATTAAAGCAAAGAGCAGAAATGGACTGAACTAAGAAAACAACGGTAGCATTCTAAGAAGCAGACATATTCAAAAGCTTTAAGAATTTTTTGATAGAATTAAGAAGACAGAATTAACAGAACTTGTTGGTTTATTTGGTTTAGTAGGAAGGGGTTGAATGAAATAGGTGAGTGAAAAGTAAAGATTTAGATATTTAAAAGCTCCTTCCTCATGTGTAGACAACTGGTTTTCAGAAAACATCCACAGGCTGGAAGAGTGGCTGGAGAAAGTGGCAGCGTAAAATAGGACAAGCTTCTCAGAAAAGTTATTCGTGATACATCTCAAGAACCAAAAAATTATTACAATGCTTTGGCCCAGTAATAGTGCATCTACAAATCTATCCTAAGGAAAACTCTGAAATGTATTTTTTTTTAATTTTAGTTCAAAGGTGTTACTATATAACCTTATTAACTGAAACAAAAAATTGAAAACAATCAAGTAGGAGAATAATTAATTAAATACATCATAATTAAAAACTATGATGTACCCATTCATGGAATATTCAGCTATTAAAATGAGATTTATGAAGAATTTTACACAGAAAATGCTTTTGTGTTGTTTAAATTAGCAACAGGATAACACTGTTAATTGTTGTAAAAATTAAAAAGAATAACTAATACAGGTGATGCTAGAGGAAAATGCCACTCTCATACATTAGTCTGGATCAATTCCTATAACATTTAAAAACCAATTTGAAATATCTATTAAAAATTTAAAACATAAACATTCTCTGGCTCAGATATTCTATTTCTGGGAAACTACTATATGAACAAAAACTCCAATATATCCAATACATATGGCTACAAGTTTAAGAATACTTATTATAGCAAAACATACAAAACCCTGAAAAATAACCTGAATGCCCATCAACAAAATAACGGTTGAAAAAACTGTAGTATAGCCATATTATGACATGTTATATAGCTATTACCAAGAATATGGTAGATCCATATTTGCTGACCTAGTGTGTGTTCATGTTGTATTTGTAAAATGAAAAAAATGTTATAACAAGTGTATATATATATAATACAATATAACTTTTGTAAATGAACATATGACTATTCTTCCACACATTTGTAGATATCTGCACATAATTACATTATAATGGATTAAGACATGTAAGTATAACTACTGGACTAAACCTCATTTGCTTGGTGGAGGAAAATGGGAAGGAAAGGAAAAAAACACTAGCAAAATATAAAAATGTATATACTGTAACATTAAGCAAATATATAAAACAAAATCCAGTCAGTGATGTAATTAAAAATGTATAAAACTTGATTAGAAGATGACAATGAAATAAAAACAATAATTTAATTAAAGGATAGGTTTGTGGAAATCCTTTGACCTAAATTCCTATATTACTTTAATATGGAATTGCAATAAAGCACAAAAATTTTTTTCTGATATAATATGAAGGGGAAAAAAACAGAACACTATATCACAGTGTGAAATAATATATAGCAACAATTCAATTACTTTGAAATTAGAGAGACAAACTATAATAAATGTTTTTACATTCTAATTTGTAACTATGGTAAACTGTTTTTCTATTAAAATGGAATGTGTTTTATTCTACATATGCTGTGGCGGGTTTTGTTAATAAAAACTGACGTTTTGTGATTAGCATACCAATGTTGTGAGAAAAGCAATCAAGCCAAGGCCAGAGTTGGAAAAGAATCAAATCCAAGGAGAACAGAAGTCAAGTGAATAGCCTACCAAGACGAGCATCATCATCAAACATTTACTTAGAGCTTAGTATATGTCAGGCATTTTTATACATAATCACTTAATCCTCATTAACATCCCAGTTAGGTAGGTACATTTGTAATACCCACTTTAAAGGTAAGGAAACTGAGGTTCAGAGTGGTTAAATTCCAAGGTCATATACCCCCAGTAAAAGTTAAGAAACCAGGGGTTTGAGTCAAAGTTTAACTTAGAAACCATGCTCTTAATCACCATGCTATACATCATAGCTATGTTAACCATACAACTTATTACCAAATAGGATTCTACTGAAGGCACTATTAAGAAATATGCCCAGACAGTAGGCATAAAATGGAACTGTCCCAGGCAAACCAAGATATACTACTTGTAAGCTCACCCCACCTATTGTTCATCTATTGCTCACAAATATGAAACTTTGATCTGACATTCAGGGGGGAAAGAAAGAAGGAAAAGTAGCCAACATTATTTGAACTTAGTTTTTATTATAATAGAGCACTCACAAGGAATTTAAACATAAGATCACTGATAGAATTACCCAGTAGTCCTTCTGATGACTTAGAGAGCTATACTTGAAAAATTCCACTGAACAAGCACCTCACTTATAAAGTTAATACAACTCTCAGAGAATTTGTATATCAATGAACCCTATGGAATCTAAAAACAAACTAAAAGTTATCACAAATGTCAATGAAATAAAATCTGTAAATACTATTGGTACCTAAGACTATATACAGAGGGTGCCAAAAAAAAATGTATACACATTTTAAGAAAGGAAAAACTGTATTAAAATTGTGCTGATGGCATCCACTTTGAGCACCTCCTGTAATTGCATAAGTCAAACGTGACTTGTATTCATCCTTTGTTATCAGTATATATGAGTATTACAATTTTAATACAGTTTTTTCCTTTCTTAAAATGTGTATACATTTTTTGGCACCCTCTGTATTTAAGAAAAATATTATGTGGAAGATTAATATCATAAAAAATTTAAAGACAAAGTTCCAAATTTATCAAAAAGCAGTAATAAGACTGCTTTTTGGGGTTTCGACAGCACATTCCATTATAGAAACTGTGTGTCATAAATAGTTGCTAGGGCCGGCCGAGTGGCAGGATGGTTAAGAGCTGGCTTGGGATGCCAGAGGGCCCCAGTTCGGATCCCACACATAAGAGCCAGTGACACTGCCCTCCACAGCTAAGATGCTGAACAACAGCTCAACCTGGAGCTAGGCTGCTGTGAGTCGCCGGCGATGGCGTAGGCTGCAGCCCCTGTGGCAGTCATTGGTTTGCCATGGGCTACCACGCGTGTGTAGCCAGCAGCCAGCATGAGCGGCCAGGAACCGCAGTGAGCAGCCGTCCAGAAGCCGGCGACTGATCTGCCTCATCCGGGAAGAGCGCAATGATGGTGCCAACTTGGGCCAGTGAAGCAACATCCTCTACAACTAGACTGAAGAACAAAACGACAGCAACTTGTCTGTTCCCCTTTCCCCAATTCCCCAGCACTGTTCCCATCCCCCCAATTCCCCAATAAAAATCTTTTAAAAATAAATAAATAAATAAATAAATAGCAGCTAAATTGCATCAATAGGCCTAAAGCTCACTGAGCAAAGCTTTCATATAAGAGTGAGGTCCTAAAATTCTGATCAACTTGAAACAATTAACACAAACCTGGTAAATAAGATCAGATAGATAAATCGAGTAAAATGATTTAATATGATATAATCCTGAAGTTTTGAAATTTCTCCATAGGTAAAAGCCAATTACTAATAAGCATAATTACTAACATTGCTAAACTGTTTGTACCTAAAAAGTAACAAGGATAAAGGGGGTCAAATATACGGTGACGCAAGGAGAACTGACTCTGGGTGGTGAACACAAAATGCAATATATAGATGATGTATTACAAAATGTGCATTTGAAACCTATATAATTTTTACTAACCAAGTCACCCCAATAAATTTAATAAAGATAAAAAATAATAAATAAATAAATAATAGATAGTAACAAGTAAAGGCCAAGAAAAAAAAAAAGACAAGTATGTGTGGCAGTTGGAACACTAAAATTTATCTGACATTTCAGTTCCTCATGAGGACAAAACAAGACTAATCCTCTCCAGCAAGTTGTCAAACAAGAGCCCTACAACACTGTGCATGTGACTCAGATCTGTATCCACGAACTTGACACAGAAATTCTGCTTCATTAGACCCAGTTGATTCTATTGTAGAGGTCCATGAACAAACTGAACATTTACTGCCCTTGAGCCATGGTTCTCACACTTCAGCACCATCAGAATCACCTGATGGGCTTGTTCAAACACAGTTTGCTGGGTCTGCTCCCCAAGTTTCTGATTCAGTCTGGGGTGAGGCCTAAGAACAGGCAGTTGTAGCAAGTGCCCAAGTGATGCTGGTCCCTTTGAGATCACTTGGAGAACCACTGCCCTAAAATACTGGAAAGCATAGTACCTGAAATGAATTCCTCCATCCAATTAAAATAAAATATTTTTTAAAAAAACAAAGGTAAAATATAAATGCCTTAGAACTAGACTGTAATTTTTAAAAACAATGGCTTCGGTTTTAAAACATAACTCTTATTTTGTTTATAAAGTAATATGCATATATTGGAGACCATTTAGAAAACAAATTTTAAGTAACAAAATAAAAAATCACCTATAAACTCACTTCTTAGGAAAAACCACTATTGACATTTTCATAATTATCCTTCTAGTTTTTTCCCCTCTGCCAAGTGTGGGTATATCTCTGAGTACATTTTATTTGTTTTCTTATAAAAATTTGTTTTCTTATAAAATTGCTTGTAATGGAGTGCTGAGAAGGAACATAAAGATCATAAAAGTATAATATCACTGTACTGTTTCATAGTATAAGGATTTTGTAAAGTCATTGAATAAGAATCCGAAGTTTGACTTTTTAAAATGGATATAGTTAAAATTGTTTTAAAAGTTATTTTTACAAAATAAAACGTACAAACAGGCTTCTCTTTGCACAGTGGTGTGTTAACTGAAACACATGCATGGTTCCACAGTAACCATGGTGACTGTGCAAAGCAAAGATATGGTTCTAACATTAATATGCAAAATTTTATTTCATTTTCAGTTAATTTCAGTTCCATGAAAAGTAACAACTGCCATAATTAAGGTCCATAATGAAGACCTTAACCCATCAAGAAAAGAAATTTACTACATATTTTGTTTTAACAAAAATGAAAGGGGATACTATGTGTAAGAAAGAGCTCAACCAAAAAATGAGAGTAAGACAACTTTTGTGCATCAATAATTTGAAAAAGTGTTCCTACATGTTGAGACTACAGATGAAACTAATTTGTCACAAAATATACACCAACTGCCTGGAACCTGAATCTATGTAAAGTCAGATACAATAATATAAGATCTGTAAAATTTTAGAGTTTTTCTTTAACCTTTAAAAGGTTAGAGTTTGCTTTAAAGGTCTATGACACATTTTAAAATAAATGGCAAAAGAACATTCTGTAATCACAAAGTTTTGTTGAATAATCAATGCAAAATCAATGTCGTTTTACTTCTGACATGCAGAAATATACTACAGTTAGAGAAGAATAGCTTTTTATAGAGAAAGAAAAAGGATTAACAAGATATACAGCATTAGGCAAGTTATCAAGTCATCATAAGAATTTGCTATACTTTGGTTGAAACATAAGCAATTGCTGGGTTTTGTATGTCAATTCATATGATTCAAACTAATATGTCCACAAAAATAAAAAACAGGTAGTAAAAAGATACATTGATAATTAACTTGAAGCAAATCATATCATTAACATAAAGGAATTATCACTCAATTAATATGTCATAAAGATCCAGAACTTAACTTTTACCCAATTTTCTACAAAACATTTAATGCATAAATTCCCCATACTTATATTATGTAAATAATGACAGCATATACATGAATCTCATTAAAGGCAATAATGTTATGTAAACAAAGCCAAACTAACTGCAAATATTCTCTGTATCAATTAATCAACATTGCTTATAAGGTACTATAAAGAACAGTCCGTAAGTTCCAAGCATATGTTTTACAACTTAAATTTAATAAAAGTAGTATTTACAATGTGTGCTATATATTTTATTACTTATTCCATTTTACATTAAAAAAACATGCCTAGAAAAAACTGTAATGATGGTAAATGGGTAATAGGTTCTAGCTCATGTATCAAATATCATGTCATTTTTAGTAAATATTTGAATTATATAATATCAGTAACTATTTCTAATCAAGATTTTGTCTAGCAGAGGAATGAAACCACAGAACTCTGTAATGTCTTAAGCCTACAACAAAGGATCTATTGGACAAGAGCAGTTTTAGTAACGCTAATATTTATCTGCTTGTTGGATATATACTAAAATACCTATTACAACCACCATTAAATGTATTTTTAGGCTGAGAAATGATCATAAACAATAAAGAAAAGATAAATAATAAATCTATCTTTCAATTAAAACCTGCTAACTCTCCAACTTACCCTTCTTGTACAAAATAAGCTTTTTCCAAAATAAAAAAAAGACACATAAAGGCATAATTATGCACTGCATTGGAATGAAGAGTGGTAGGACTATGCACAAATGATGATTATAAATGACCAAGAAAAGAGAAAATAAAATAATATATTAAACTTGTTTATGGTTAAATAGATGAGTCTGAAATCTGGGTGAAGAAAAAGTTCTTAGAATTCATCTTTTTTAAAAAGTTGCTAGTAGTTTTTGATGTTTGGCAGATAGTACAACAATTCTTAACAGTTTGACATATGCCATAAATATTCTACTGAATTAAATGTATGTTATTAGCATAATCATAAATACCCTGAATATTTTCATGAGTTACTAGAATGTTACTAATTTTAATTCGTAATTCTTACCAAATCACCCTATTCTGTAAACTTTTCAGTGGTCTCAGTTTAGGGTAAGAAAACAGATCTTCATATACTTTTTCTCTGCAGCTACATCTTACCTCTTCCTTCTTCTATTCTGTGTCTCCTGATTACTCGCTGCCGTTTTTCTTCTTGTCTTAACTGAAGGTGTTCTTCAATGTTAACCCCGGGTACTGGGACAGCTGGATAAAAAGGAGGAAATAAATACATTAATTAATTAATTAAAATAAATGTGTGTGCGTGTGTGTGTGCACGTGTGTACACACACATACTATATAAGATATGACAGAACTATATGAAATTCAAGAAAGTAAAAGCTAACAAAACTGTCTAAAACAAATTATTTTTACTGTAAGAATCTTACCAAAAAACAGAAAAAGAATCTCATCCTTTAATTAATGACATAGTGTCAGTTATCATAAAAGCAGTACTGCATAACTAGCTGTTATCTCAATTTTCTAAAATATACCTAATAGAAATTGCTTAAACTATCCAAATTACTGAGCTGAGGGCAAGACGTCTAGTGCCGTAAAGCAAATCACCTAGCAGAAGGTCTAAAGGGATCATCTCTTTCACTGCATCAAGAATGCCTCTCTGTCTTGCCTCTTGACCATCCAGCTCTCTTGCACAAGCCTTGCAACATCCACACACAGCACAGCCCGATTCTCCAGAACCACAGCCACAGATCCTAAAAAACCAAGAACAAACATAATCAGTTAACTGAAATCCTTCTACTCTTCCCTTTAAACTCTTTCTGTAACATCCTTCCTGCATTTCTGATATTAAATTAAATGAGTCAGCAATGAGTCACCCCCTTGGATCAGGATCGGGATGTCGATTTCTAAGGAAAGGTATCAACAGGTGAATCGTTACAAACAAGTTTATTACGCTCCTCATAGGCATAGTTGGTATTTTTCTACAGAAAATATAAATCTATTCTGTTATCTTCAATGATTCTATCAAAAAATATTTTTAAAGTTTTCACAATTAGAAAATCACAGCAGTTTTACTATTATGTGGTCTGGATGGGTTGGCTGGTAAATAAACAAACATTCCTATCTACCAGGTAAGTTAAGGGAGGGTTGGGCAGCCTGCAATGAGTGAGCCCAGCTTGTCAGCTTCACGCAATACGATCCCTGTTCCCTCCCTCTCGTTTATATGCACCATCTTCCATTCACTCCTTTCACTGTGTTCAATTACCTGTTATTTTTCCTCCTCTTTGTCCTTTTCATACCAGTTGTGAACTAAACGTATGACATTTGATTATATCATAAAGAAGACAAGAACATGCCTAGAAGTTGGCAACAGGGTCGGTGAATAACTAACTTCTTAGTCACACATTTTATAAATGTAGACTTTATTGCTTTAATATTATTTTGTTGAATCAGTCCCGAAAAACTTTTGACAGCCTCATTGAGCCTCTGGTTATCCAGATTTGTGGAAGTACCAGACGAAGGATCTACTTGGCAGAAGCTTTGAAAGACACTGCTAGAAGCCCTGTGAATCCTGGCTTTTAAAGGCAACCATTAATGACAATTTGCAGGATCACTAACTACAACAGTAAAAACTGATACAATAATATGCCCTGCTGAATTGTTGGTAGGCACTATTTAAAAAATAATGCTTAATTCTAAATTTAATCTAAGATATGTAGTCACAATTTTATAATAATAGAAGCCATTTTTAATAGTGCTTAGAGTCCTAGCACATATTCTTATGTTGACTTTATTCATGTATTTATTTGTGCTTCATTAATAAAGAAATTATTGTACTTGGTTAGGTACTGTCCATTTAAATCTATAATTATTGGAAACTGATAATAAATGTCTGAGGAAAAAGCATATAAAGAAGAATAATTAATTTCAGGAAGAACCAGAGAATTATAAATTCATTTATGATTTTTATCAATTGCTTAAATTCCGAGATTGGAGACACTTAATTTTAATGGAAATAGCTTGAGAGAGATCCAGGAGGATAAATTCAACTCCTTGTAGAAAAAAAATATCATCCTTTGATAGAGAGCCAAAATATTTTTACATTGCTAAAAACTGCAAATAAAAGGTATTGTTTAAAAATTGGAGAATTTCAAAACCTAAAAGAAAAGGCCTGTTATATATGATCTATTTAACTAGATTAGGCCATAGTGTTAGGTCATAGTATAAACAAGGGAATATACTCATAGTAGATCCAGAAATTATGCGGATCTACGAAAGGTATGTATCAAATAGAGAGGTCCAAGGTGGTGGGGGGCTGTCCTGACTTTGGGCTTTTCTTCACAAAATTTCCCTTCCTTTCCAAAGACAGCTAATTATCATAATTAGTCTAATCTTACAAAGATCAAATCTATCATAATTTGATTTCACGAAGGATACCCAATTATGTTACATTGGCCATAAATGTCAACACAAAGTAAGAATCAAAATCCTCACCAACATTCTAGAGAAAAACCTGCATTCGGATTCTGCCAAACTCTCACATTAACTTTAAAATGACACTATAGGACCCTGGAAAAAAATAAGTGGTCCAATAAGAGTAAAAAGGACAAATAGGTAAAATGCAACTTTAGACGTGATAGTTCCTAGAACTCCTAAAATTACAAAGAGTAAATTTAAAAGAAAATTATTTTTCCCTAATTGAGTATTCTCTATGATAGCTGATAACGCTACTCAGAAAAGATTCATGTTCAACAAAAATGAATAGGTATTTGGCATCAAAGCAGTCTTTGGAAAAGAATATAAGTGAAAGCACAGCCCAAGCCTTCAAGAAATTTGACTTGTTTTTAAATAATGGTTTAAGTGAATCAAATGAAAGAAAAGCAACTTAAATAAAAATGACACTAAACTAGAAATTATTATAATAGAGAACAATTATGAGACTTCTAAGTACATGCCAACATGCCTTTAAGACACAACATACTAGAACATGCTGAACTAACTGTGGAATGTGCTCTGCACATTTTCTACTACTGTTTTATTTTTCCAGTATTAATCGCATTCTTACCCTCCGGGAACTCTGTCTGGACGCCCACTACTGACACAGCTGGCCCCGTAGCCGGTGCAGTCTCCACAGACAGTGCACACCATGCACTGCTCCAGCTTCCATTTATGCATGCCTGGAGGGCACATCATGGACTTCTCATCTTTTTCATCTAGTTCTTCTTCCAGGTCTTCATCCATTGCAGTGGCCATATTTTCAACTCCAAACCCTATTTGGCAAATCAATTTATAATTTTTATGTAGATTATTCCCATGTTTAAAAAACCGATAATTACATTTCCCAATTAAAAAATATATAACACATACTAATCCAAGTGAATACTACGAAGGAATACTAAAATATAAGCGTGACAGAGGGACCACTGGCGCCACTAATTCTTTCTGCAAAAGAATAAGGAGAGGCAGGAGCATCTCTTAGCTGTTGCTTTCTATCGATCATACTTTTAATTCTTTCTGGTTTTAGTCCCTCCTTTCCATCCTCACAGCTTGCACTTTTGTTCAACGGACTAAAGAAAGTCTCCTGACCATGCTCTTAGCCGAGTCCCTCCACTCTCAAACACCCTTCCATTGCTAGCAATCAGCATCTTAAAACATATACTTGATCCTATGACTTCCCAACTTACAAAGCTCCGATGTCTTTCTAAGGTCTTTAAAAGGACAAAACTCCTGAGCAAGATACAGGCAGTGCCGTAAGAGCTCCAATCTCATTTTTTCCAGGCAAACTACATTGTGCCTGGACTTCAATTCCCTCTGCTTTCTAACCATCCTGTGTCCTCCCACATGCTCTGGGCCTTTGCTCATTTCTGCTCCACCTGTATGTGCCTACCTCATTTACTAGATAGATGCCTTTCCCTACTTCATCTACCAGAGAAACTCCTTTCCACCTTCAAAAACTCAGCTCAGGAGTCATTTCCTATGAATGCACTTACCACTTTTTCCAGAGAGCCAGTCTCTATCTCTTCAAAACCTGTTTATATCTCAATTACAACTTACTTGTGCTGTAAGTCCTTCTACTGGGTTGTCGGAAAAGTCATGACATGTTTTTTCTATGTTTTTTATTGCAAAAATGCGTCATGACTTTTCAGACAACCGATTATTATTATTATTATTATTATTATTATTATTATTATTATTATTATTGAACACCTACTATGCCCTAAGCATTTCACCTTATGGGAAAGAGTCAGCAAAAAATTTTGTAAAGGTCCAGACTGTAAATAATTTTGGCTTTGTGGCCCACATGAGTCTCTATCACATTTTTAAAAAATAACCCTTCACAAAGGTAAAATACATTCTTAGCTTCGAGGGCCATACAGAAACAGTCCACTGAGCAGATATGGCATCAGGTTATAGTTTGTAGACATCTGCTCTGGGCACTGAGGACTATGATAATGAGCTATGATAAAGCTTATAATTTAAAAGATATGCATTAATCAAATAGTCATGCAGGATAAACTGTAAATATGTGTATACAACTGTGATATGATTATGAAGGAACATATAGTGCTACAAGAGCATATAATGAAAAAGAAAATCTGTGGGAATCAAGTAATTATTTTTTATGTTTGCCTTTCTTACCAAACTTAGCTCCTCAAAGACAAAGTTACGCCTTACTCACTTTACCTTACTCAACCTTATTTTCCTATCACTTACACTTATAACAGACTCAGTATAAATCTGTCTAATCAAGAAATTATCTCATAGAATACATAGCCTTTTTTAAAATTTTGCAACTTCTAATCTATGGACAGGCTGAAAAATTAGATAACCAAATACTGGATAACTATGTATGTCTAGAGTTACAATAAAGCAATCCTGAAGAAGGCCCAAGTAACTATTTTTAATAACAATAGCTAAAATATACTAAGCACTTACTTGTGCCTAGATCTACATGTATTACTCATTTAATCATCCCAACAGTCCCATAACTATTATCTTCAAATTAATCTCTAAATTCAAAGCAATGCCAATCACAATGCCAAGTAGAAAAACTGACTCTAATTCATGTAGAAAAAAAAAAGGGGTCCCAACCTGACCACATAGAGCCAAAATTTATAAAGAAAAAGAATGAAAAGCTTGTCATCAAAATTTAAAAACTACATGCAACAAATGAAAACCATAAATATAAAAAATAAGCCACAAGTTAGTCAAAGGTATTTGCAACACATACAACATAATATATAAACAACTCTTACAAATCAGTAAGAAAAAGGCAAGCATAAGAAATACATGGCAAAATAAAAATAGGCAAAAATAAGAAAAGTTTGAAAAAACAGTCTAATTCACTATTCATAACCAAGGGAATACAAATCATTTTTTGTTAGAAAAATGAGAGGTCTAGCAATTCTACTCCTGGGTACAGTTATATCCCCAAAAGAAATGCATACATATTTTCATTGACATTTACTAGAAATGTTCATAGCAACACTATTCATAATAACCAAAAGTAGAAACTACCCAAATGTCCATAATCCTAGAAAATATTTTAAAACTGTGGTATATTCACACAATTTAATACTACAACTACACAATGATGAGAATGATCAATCTATAACTAACTGTAACAACATGGATGAATCTCATAAAATTGAGTGAAAAGAAACCGGACATAAAGAATTCATACTACATGATTCCATTTATAAAGTACAACGTATGCAAAAGTAATTTATGGTGTTAACTGGAGAGGAGGATATTGACAAAGAGGAACATAAAGGGGGGGCTTCCTGGGTTGCTGTTAATAAACTATTTCTTGATCTGGATTCTGACTACAGGAATATGTTTGGTTTGTAAAAATTTATCAAGATGTACACTTATGATGTGTATTTTTCTGCATATATGTTATACCTCAATATAACAAACAAAATTACAGAGAAATACAATGTCATAGCAAAAATCACAATGACAAAAATCAGAATCTGTCAATAGTAACCACTTGAGTCATGTGGAAAATCAAACTTTACTGGTTAGAGAATAAAAAATTGATTTCAACTTCTTCCAAGAAAAATCTAGCAAAGCTGAACTCTACAACATAGCAATTTCACTAGAATCTCACATGTTCGCCAGGAGACATGTATAAAGGTTTTAAAATTATAACATTGAAAAATTAGAAATAAACTCATCTACCAGCAGAAGAATGAATAAACTGTGGTTAGTGGTATGCTGTTTTTACACAGTAGTTAACATCAATCATCTAGATTTATATGTACCAACATGGACATATTTCAAAAACAATAGTGAGACAAAAGTTTTTTCACAGAAAAATATGAATAGATTAGCGATTACTATAAATATATTTTATGTGTAAAATATATGTAATACATTGTACATATAAAATATATAAGAACAAGTCAACATACAGGAACGTGACTGAAAGGACATTAATTAAAGTCACGATTGTGGCTGGTTCTGAAGAGAGATGGAGTAGAACCATAAGTCTTGGAACGGGAATGCAGGGCACTAGAATCTTATCTATAATTTTTTCACTGAAAAATGATAAGATGTGGTGGTAGATAAACCATTTTTTAATATTTCAATATTATTTTCTGTACTTTTCCTAGTTAAAAAAAATCTTCTTTTTAATATCCCTTTATGTTCTTTCTAACTCTGCAATCTATATTCATTATGTGTCTTACACAACTAGCCAGCTTTCCAATTCAATACTTGCTGAGTGGGTGTGATTTTTATTAAGTAAAAAATCTTTTTAACAATTTAATTTGGCTATTACAAAGTTTACACTAAAAGTCCAGAACATAGGTGTAAATGTATGCCAAATTTTCGCAAAAGTTTCCAAATAATAAAAAACAACTTTGTTCATCTCAGAACTCTTACTAAACATAATTTGAATGTTTATATTATAAATAAAAAACTAAACTGGTTCTCTCCTCTTTGACTAGTAGGTATTATCTAAAACTATAGTTGACTAGTCTAGCAAGGAGAAAAAAATATTTCCATTTTGGAGTAATCCACTTCTTTTCTTTCTTTTGCGCTTCCTTCTTTTTTACAATCAATATTGCTCTAACAGACTTGTTCTTTTAAAAACAATTTTAAATACAACACATATAAATGAGGTAAGGGAAGACAATGGTGGGCTCTTGATGTCCAGATGAGTCTGCCATCATAAAGGCCCCTAAAGAGCTAAACTTGTTTTTGTTAATTTATACAAATATTAATCCTGAAACTCATTTGTACTTTAAACACAGTTCAATGCTTAGTTCTAATAATATATATTTTTTACTCATGCCTACACAAAATTAAAAACAGAAAATCACAAGTTGGAGTGAACGGTAATATGACAGCACTAATAGCAGCTAAAATAAAAATTGAGAGCAAAAATGAAGCAGACAAAAACTATTACAAAAACACCGCAACAAGCATAGATAAACCCCTCTCTTCCCTTTAAGGGCCTGACTGTTTGGGAAAAGGATACAGTGAATAAGGGACATCTATAATTTAGCTCTTGATAAAAGGTTAAGTATTCTGAGGATCATTCTTTAGTTGTCAAGAACTGATTAAATTAGAGGTTAAGCACATGCTGTTAAACAGGAAGATAGTATTTGCCAGACAGACTGCTGCCAAAAATGTTTAAATCTGAAAACGTGGTATAAAAAGCTAATAATAAAGAGTTTGAAAATGCACTTTTCTAGAATAATTTATTCACCAATAATGCTAAATCAAAGAGGTGCTATTATATTTTACATAAAATTAGGAAAACTTACAAGTAACAAGCTCATTTGTTCAGCAATTACAAGTCTAAAGTATATTTGATTATTCCAGAGATATATCGTCAAACAAATAAAAAATGCAGTGGTTTTCCTAATTTGTAAGTATGACATCAAAGAGCCACTTGTTTAGAAAAAAATAAGGTTCTTCACTATGCTGTTCTGAAAAACTAATGAAGAGACAAGGCACAGGTTAATGACCACACATTCAACACCTACCTTTCCCACCTTGGTTCATGGCACCAGTGTCTCGTCCACACTGTCCTTTATTATTTACACCAAATGTCCAAACTTCTCCATTCTTCATTAAAACACAAGTGTGAGCTTTGCCCATAGCCACCTGAGTTACAAAATGGCCTTTCAAATCTGTTACCAAACCTACAGGAAAGATACAAATTTGGTAAGAAACAACAACAAAGCCTTTCTGAGTCTAGTGAATCATCAGTAACATAAAAGGACCATCTCAATGCAGAACTTTTCATTTCTAGGATAAAATAACCCACCAAAATGGGAAATAAGTGGCAAAAGACTGGCAGAAGATCAGTAAATTAATTTTGTAATTTTATAATGAAGCTTCAAAATCTTAAAATGCTATCATCTAGACTTGGAACAAACCTTTACTGTAGCATTAGCCCAAGCTTTCTTCTCCTGAATACTTGCTTTAAATGGTAAAAGCTCTCAAAAATTCTCAGAAGAGTCATTACTTCTTAAACCTTCATGGTCCAAGCACAAAGGAGCCTATAAATCATGTATTAGGTTGGTGCAAACATAATTGCGGTTTTTGGATTGTTGAAATTTGCCTTTGATATTGGAATACATTCTTAAATAAATGTCATTATGTTATACATCATTTTAACGCGCATTTCTCACTTCATGTTTTTTTGCTGATGGCTCATTACTTATTGTTTATTTTATATGTATTTTAGGCTATGGAAATGATGTTAGACAAAAAGCAAATTGGAGCGATTTTCTTATTCGAGTTCAAAATGGGTCGTAAAGCAACGGAGACAATTAGCAACATCAACAATGCATTTGGCCCAAAATTGCTAACCAACATACAGTGCAGTGGTGGTTCAAGAAGTTTTGCAAAGGAGAAGAGAGCCTTGAAGATGAGGAATGCAGTGGCCAGCCATCAGAAGTTGACAACGACCAATTGAGAGCAATCATTGAGGCTGATCCTCTTACAACTACATAAACTGCCAAAGAAATCAACGTGGACCATTCTATGGTGGTTCAGCATTTGAAGCAAATTGGGAAGGTGAAAAAGCTTGATTAAGTGGGTGCCTCATAAGCTGACCACAAATCAAAAAAATCGTCGTTTTGAAGTGCCGTCTTCTCTTATTCTATGCAACAACAATGAAGCATTTCTCGATAGGATTGTGACATGAGACGAAAAGTGGATTTTATTTATTTTTTTTAGCTGAGCCATCCTGCCACCTGTTGGCAGCTCAGCGGCAGCTCAGTTCGGGCCAGGACTTGAACCGCTGTTGCTCAGAACTTGCACTCTTGAGTAAGCTCTTAACCAACTGAGCCACTCGGCTGACCCTGAAAAGTGGATTTTATACGACAACCGGCGATGACCAGCTCAGTGGTTGGCCCTGAGAAGAAGCTCCAAATCACTTCCCAAAGCCAAACTTGCACCAAAAAACGGTCATGGTCACTGTTTGGTGGTCTGCTGCCGGTCTGATCCACCATAGCTTTCTAAATTCCGGTGAAACCATTACATCTGAGAACTATGATCACCAAATCGATGAGATGCACCGAAAACTGCAATGCCTGCAGCCGGCACTGATCAACAGAAAAGGCCCAATTCTTCTCCATGACAATGCCAGACCACACATCGTACAACCAACACTTCAAAAGTTGAATGAATTGGGCTACGAAGTTTTGCCTCATCTACCATATTCACCTGACCTCTCGCCAACCAACTACCACTTCTTCAAGCATCTCGACACCTTTTTGCAGGGAAAACACTTCCACAACCAGCAGGATACAGAAAATGCTTTCCAAGAGTTCATCGAATCCTGAAGAACGGAATTTTATGCTACAGGAATAAACAAACTTATCTCGTTGGCAAGTGTGTTGATTGTAATGATTCCTATTTTGATTAATAAAGATGTATTTGAGCCTAGTTATACTGATTTAAAATTCACGGTCCGAAACCACAATTACTTTTGCACCAACCTAATACTTTACCTGCTTTAACCTGCCTCAGCAAAACAAAGTAAAACACTCGCCAGAGTATACTGAATAATGTTTTTGTTGAACCCTGTGAGATTTTCCAAAGAGGTAGTTTTCAATCCTTTTTAACCTAAAATACTTTCTTCTACAATCCAATGCATAGCTAGTTCCTAAATTTGAATAAATGAAAAAGTTTTGATGAGCACATGCCAAGAGAATTTTATCAAGCAATAGTTAAACAATATTATTTGTAAACTATATATGAGCCTACTCAAAAATTTTTATTCACTGACACTGAGGCCAACTAAGAATCTAAATATTACCAAATTAATCAACTCACATATTACCTGAGCACATTTCAATATAATTGCTATAAATGTTCAATATATGTCATTTCCCCAGCAATGTTTCTAATCAGAAGCTTCATTAACTCTGGTTTCCTTTTTACAAAGAAATTTACATTTACTTCATATAAAAACCTTCCAGCGAATTGCCGCAATCATTATACTCATTTCTATGTGCAAGAAATAAAATATAGAGACCAAATATGACAAGTTTTTGAGATCAGTTATAAATATAAAACTCTTTATCTGGCTCATTCTATCCTTCATATCCACTATTTAAACTTCTTGTTTATCTGTCACTCATTCACTTAACAAGTAATTTTTGAGACCCTGCCATGAGCCAGACACTGTGCTGGGTACTGGGTATATAACAGTAAGTCAGAGAGAGATACTCCCTCCCTAACTATGGAACAGGGGGAGATAAATAACTTATCAAGTATAAATGAGCTATGTTATGAAAACCATTTCCCCGGGGTACTACCAGGAACATGTCACATAAGCATCTGGGTCTAGAGAAAGCTTTCCAGAGAAAGTAACAGCTAAAGTAGAGAGCTAAGCCCCATAATTAGCTCTGCATGAAACTAGTAACAGTGGTCCCCACAAGACAGGAAGGAATCACAGTGTTGTATTTGCCAAGGTGAAAAATGTAGAGAAGGCATGCTACAAATGTGAATTTTCTAGACATATCTTTGCAGTTCATAATGTCTAGTACTGGACTTTGTATAACAGTGAAATGGTGTTTAAGTTGAACTTACTTGAACTATCAGAGTAAATGGCATCTTTTCCAAACATGTATAGCTCTCCATCTTTAGAAATAACAGAACTACTTCCATTATTGCAGGCTGTATACACCACAATCTTGCCTTCCATCTTAATTATCTTTTTAGGTTTATAGGGTTTTGATTGCCGTCTGCTCTTAGCTTAAAAAAATTAAATTAAAGTTAAATCAAGGCATCTATGCATAAATAAAAATATTGGGTTGTTGGAAAACTCATGACGCATTTTTGCAACGAAAAACAGGAAAATTACATCATGACTTTTCCGACAACCCAATAGTTCGTAATAAAACCCAAGTAAAAAAACACATTATTTGCATTCAATTTTATTTATTTATTATTTATTTATTTATTTTCACAAAGGCCTGAACTTTCCAACATGTCAATTAAAATAAGTAAACCTGCAAGCTTCATCTGGTTAATTAATATTTAGGCTATCATAGTCAGATCCTTCCCTTGGTAACACTGAAATTCCCAATGGGAAAACAGCAATTTTCTACCAAACTTCTAGGGATCCCAATCTCTAGATTAGCTAGTTACATTATCAACACCATTCCATAATTACCTTTTCTCTCAAACTCTACCTTACATGTATTCTTATGCTAAAATCCTGAAAAGCAAAATCCGTTCTTCATTCATTTAACACATATGCATTAAGTAGCTAACACCTATCAAGGAGAGATAGTAAAGAAAGAAAATATACATATGGAGGGGGAGTGAATAAATTTAAATGTGGATGATTCAAGCAGCCTCTGCTCTCAAGAACTAAATCCCTGAAATGAGCAAAAGATGGGAAATATAAATCTTCTATTCCTTTAGTCAACCTCAGTTCTTGTGTGCTTTGCAGAATAAAAACATACTGCTGTGCTGGGAGCAATTCTGGGACTTAAAATACCATTATATTTTTCATATATTAATAACATGATCCAATCATATATACAGCAACTATGTTATCTGGTGCTCAAGCAAAGAAAGAACAATGTTCTCTGAATGCTAGAAGGAAAAACTGGATGTGTTCAAGTTTCTGAAATATGGTGATACACTTCATGTTATTTTAAGGATTTCTTCCAGGGTAACTTTTATTTACACATGGTTTTTACATTAGATGTTGACTTCAAACCTAATACTCATAAGATGCTACCCTACTGTGCTACAATATATAAAGTAGATAAGAGGTTACAAAAAGAGAAACATGACACTTTGAGGAATACCGAACAGAAGTATTGGAAAGATAAGAGATAAATGAAATCATTTTCTCATTACTTAAGGAATGCTTTCATCATACAGAAATCATACCAAGAACAATGACCCATAACTGACATTATTATACAAGGTTACATAAGGTTTACTTCATATTGAAATATATGTTCCTTCCAAAATTTTGGGTTATCTAAGATAATATACTAGAATAAGTTGTTGTTTTTTTTAATAACACCAACTGGCAAAAACAGATCAACAGCCATGTATCCATAAAGCTTATACAATTCATGAATATGAACTCTAGAATGAAATAAGCAATCAGCTCTTTAATGAACAGTACACCACCACCATTAACTGAATATGCCCCAAAGCAAAATCCTCTCTTAACTTGGTGAGGTTAGTGCTGTTGAAATCGATATACCTTATGTTAACAAATTCCACACTATTTTTACTGAATGTCTAGTTGATCAGTCAACTTACTTGATTCTCCATCTTCTCCTTTACTAGCAGATCCTGTAAAGAATATGCTTCCATCTTCTGCAACTAAAAGGGCGTGAGAGCCATCGTGTCCAACTGAGAAGTGTACAATCTTTGGAGATTTTGTAATTGGTAGCTCAACCCATTTTCCTGCTGAAGGACCACCTTGTTTGATTCCAAGACTCTGGTATTTGCCAGTATAATATATCTGATATATACAAAAAAAAAAAAAAAAGGAGAAGAAAAAAGAAAAAGAGAGTTATCGTGCCTTTTGGAATAGTGTACCAGGTTTCACATGAGAGAAAAAAACTTCCACATTGTATTAAAAAACAAAAATATCAAGAACCCCAACTTTTTTTTAATACTATTTCACTTCTGTGAACTAAAAAGGAGAGAAACAGGCATATTTTTCCAAAAAGACAAGAGTCCATAATAGTTCCTTTGTATCTATTCAGAATACTTATAATCTCTCACCTTTCAATTTTATAAGATACTTTATAAGTATTCTGAATAGATATGAAAAAATACACTTCATAAATATACTTGAAACTCATTACAATAGTAAATTCATAAAATTCTCAATTAATTTTCCCCAATATAAAAAGCCCTACATACAAATATACTGTATTTACCTAGTAATTTTAATTTCCAGAGTTCTTTTAATTACCTTACTTTATCCTCACACCCACTTGATGGAAGAAACTTGATGGAAGAAACTTCCATCTCTGTAGATTGGCCTCCATAACTGATAACTTATTTATAATGCTCTTCTTTCCCCCAACTTGTAGTCCGTATATTTATGCTCATTTACAGAAATTTGCAATGAATGCCACATTCATCAAAATAAACACAAAATGTGAATTCAGCCCAACTCAAAAAATTACACAAAGAGCTCCATAATTCAAAGCAAATATTTATAAAAATATAACATTTTGTAAAGCTTATGAAGTGTTATACTCTTAAATGTCAATTTCTCTTCAAATTTCAATATGATAAAATTTTACCATATAAAAATATAAAATAACTTAAATCAAAATTTAAAATATCATTGTGTTTAAACATGTGAACTATGTAAACTAATCAACTTATATATCAACTGACTATTTCTTAAAGCAGAGAATGCTAATTTTTAATCCTAAAACAGTAATTTACCTTTCCATTTGCTGTTTTCATTAGTGCAAACTCTCGTCCCGCACCAAGAATTGCTGACTCCTCATCAAATCCTGTACCTGATAATACAAGATTAAGAAAGTCTATTATTTTTTAATATGAATAATTTCAAGTATAACTGCTACTATTCTGAGTGATTCGAGTCAATTCAATTAATATCACTCAAAAACAAGGATGACAAAATGGCATATGCCTGAATTAAAAATATATATATATATATATTAATAGGTACACTATTCCAAGCAAAAATAAAGTTATCATAAGCTTCTTAATTTGTTCCAAACTAGTGCCAGATTAACTTTTTAATATAAAAAAATTTTTAAAGGAATGTCAGCAATATACCTTGAATTAACAAAGAACACATTTTTATTGAGCATCTTTCAGGTATCAGGCATTACAGAACACATGAACCTTACCCTATTTGATCCTTACTGCCTGTTTGACAAATGAACAAATATAAAGCTGGTGAGGTTAGTCCAGAGCCCTAGTTATTTGGGCTTCAACAATGCCACGTACATATCTGAATTAAGGTATTTCAGATTCTTTACTCCATGTTTTTTACTGAAGAATATTTCATGTAGCTACCTCATGAATCTGAATACATATGTGTGCATATACACATACACAGATTCTTATGCACCTTTTCAAATTGTAAAGCTATGTGTAATAGTTTAACTAATAATTATTAATTAGGTCATGGGCTTTTTAAATTTAAAACTATCATTTAATTCTATATTTTTCTATGAAAGAATTACAAAAATAATTAATATGCAAAGTAAATCACTGATGTCAAGTTTATGAAATTTAATGAGATAGTCAAAAAAGGTGGGTCTTGCAAAGAATCCATAAGTTAAAATATGGCACTATTAAACCACAGCAGCATGGGAAACAAAACTGAAGACCCTCATGGGAACTGGTGATCCCAATTTTTACTATGACACCGCAAGAGTAAGTATACGAAGTCTGAAAAATACTCTGTGGTTGTCTGTCCTTCTGTATCCAAATGAACGATTAATCCGTTTGTTAGACCAATTACCATTATCACAATCTGTGGGATCATTCTATGGCTATCCTGGAAATCTGTTCAAATCAAAATTAAAGGTTTCAATGAGAGACCTATGTATGTAATTGTAGTAACATTTACAATAGAAGTTTTCAAATTTTTAAATGATTGAATAGAGAAGGAACATACAAACTAATGATGTCCACAAATGTTGTCTAGCTATAATTTTATCAAATATGTTTACTTTCTTTTGCTTTACTCAGAATGAAAATGGGAAATTATCAGTCCCTTTCTTAAAATGGTATTCATATATCTTACTGTTTAAAAGCCATATTTCCTATTTACTCATACATATTAATTCATAGGTGTGCTTTATAGTAGTATCAGACAGAAAAATAGCAGCTAAAATATAAGCTACACTGCTGAAAATACAATGTTAGTTTTCAAAAGCATAAACAATCTGAAAATTAAAATACGGGAGAAAGGCTTATTTGAAAATCTTACTTATAATATGCAAGTCCTTTTCCAGGTCAAATAGTGAGATACCACAGGCATGTAAGCATTTTCTGGCTAGTTTAAGTTGCAATTCTTGTTGTAGCACAGGTTCAGTGCTTGTGGCAAATATTCTGACAACAAAGCCATCCTAGAAAAAAACATTCACTTGTTGCATGAATTGGTTTTTTTAAGGCTCTATAGTCCATCCAAAAAAAATCAATTTATCAGAAAGGGGTTCCATTTACCCCAACTATTCATGATTCAGAGTACTTACATCTCTTGAAGCAGCTATCTGATTAATGTATTCTCCATCAGTGAATAAAATATTTTGACCTTCATTGTGGCAATCTGCGCAAAAGGAAGAAAAAGTAATTATATTACAATATAAATAAACAGCTCACAAAATGACTTTCTCCTCTGCTGAAGTCAGAATGAGAGTTCTCCACGCAATAAGGATAAACAAACTCTAAGGGAGACTGTGCTTTTTAATAAAGAATTACATATTAGCAGAAACTAAATAATTTAGCTAATAATATTTATTACACTTTGTGCTTACACTTATAAATCTTCCATAATCAAGGAACTCAGAGCCCACCTAATTTCAAAGTGAATTAGTATTAGATAAAGTCTGATAATAAACATGCACCACGATGAACTATAATATTGGTTATAATCATTTCAATACAATCACATGCAATGTAGGCAACACTCTACTTCAGACATACATCATAGTCATTAGTGTCACAGAAAAACAGACAGACCTAAAGCTTCTGTATTTGAGTCTATGGTGTCCAACTACAGATATCCCTTGCTTTAGAAAATAGAACTGGTTGTCCAGTTTCCACTTAGAAGTTTAATGCTTATCCCCAGCATTTTTAGCATTTAGCATGCTATACACTTTTTAAAGGTTCTTCCCTCAAAGAACAGACAAATTTATGCTCTGTGTTTCTTTTTGTCTGCAAGTGCTCATATATTTGGCTTGAAAACCATGTTTTATCAACACTGTATGTATCTGTGGGATAGTGCACAATATACTTTGATGGAAATAATGCTCAAGTGCAACTGTAACAAGGGATACCAGTATTACAGAAGGACCTCTGGGACACGTGTTAGTGATTGCTACTGAATAACATGAAACTACAAGCAAGATCAACATCTAAGTATAAACTGTATCCTTTTGGAAAAACATGTTCAGCAAGCAAGTAAAAAAGCACACACAGTTCCCAAAATAACTGCAGAGAACTAGGATGAATCTCTCCATTAATTACAATACCAAAAAATAATATTTCATTTCTATTTGCACCTAAATCAACAAAACATAAAGTTGTTTTTGGAATGCAGTAATGGAGCCCACCCAAATAAGGTGAATTACTCTATATCTTTGCCCAGGAGCTTCATACTAGCATACTTCCTTATCATAAATACGCAAAACACAGGCAGACCCTTACCAAATAGAGAATTCAGTGATCACAAACTGGAAATAGAAACTGGGAGACAAGGCCCACGGGTAGCCCAAGAGACTTGGTAATCAAAGAGAGGAGAAATCGAAAGAAAGAGTTCCTAGTCCACTGTACAGAATACAAAGAGGCGCAAGAAAGATGCTTCTCAAGCTCTAAGCAGTAAGATTTTAAACTAAAAAGCAAAGAAGAAAAACTCATTATAATTTCAGATAAATGCAGGGGTGAGGAGTGAAGCGGCGCAAGAAGAGTAGCAAAAGCCTCATGATCTGAGGCAGCCTGTCACCAGGCATGGAGAGTAAATGACATCAGGATACAATATAAGAACTATGCCAACATATAAAGGTTAAAATGACAATTAACAGGGAAAAAGTATGTTTAAGTTCACCAATGCTAGGCTGAAAGCAACTTATTTATAAACTAAACTGTAAGACAAGCTGGAACACGAAGCTCAAGAAGTTACCAGATTTATGTCAGTTTTAAACATGGTATTCACTGCTGTCTATAAAGCTGACAATTCACTTCTGCTCCTTCTTGGTTGAAAAGCTACAGGGCAGAGTTGCCCCCTGCTAGGGGGGAAAAAAGTACTATTGAAGAAATTGCAGTCCGGGTCAAAGAGATGGAAAAATGACAAGAGGCTTCTTCACACTTGAGGGGAAATCTTTCTGCTGCGTGATTTCAAAAAGATCTTCTCTTTATCCTTTCTTCATCCATCATGTCATGTTATAAGACAGCATCTTCAGGAAAATATCAGGCAACATCTGCCAGTTCGGAAGACATGCAACATGGTACTATCTTCCCAAAGTTTGGTTCATTCTTCACCGCGATATGGTACATATTTATAAAACACAGAAAGCCACACTTGGTATTGTTAAAAGTTGCATTTCACATGTTATATGATGTAGAAGTACTTAAAATGAATAAGGACATTAGCAACTCATTTTCATCATGGTGGAATAAATACAACAGTTGGTAGGTAGACCATTTAAAAATGGTCTTCTCAGTCACAATAATAAATGATGAGGGTTTCTCAGAAGTATATCCTTTATATTAGTATCTACCTGTTGGGACCGGGAGTTAAGAATTTTCTTCCAGTACATTATCCTAAAATGACTTGCACAAAGACAGGGCAAGAGTAATACTCATACAGTGTGATTTATATGGCCAAAAATTGGAAGAAACTTCCATTCTAATATATTAATCAATGGGATATATTATATAACATTAAAATGATACTGTGGAAGACTATTTAATGGCCTGGAAATATATTCAGAGTAATGAGTGAAAGGGATATGTTAAAAAGCAGTATGTAGCATGTGATCACTTTTACACATATAAACATATATACATGTGTAAGACAGAAAGGATATTTACCAATATATTATAGTGTTTATATATGGGAAGTAGGGTTACAATTTTGATTTTTTTTGTTTTATATGATACTTATTTATACAATAAATATGATTACTTTAATGGTGTATATATGTATGGGGTACATGTTATTATTTAAAATTATTATTTTTATTAATATTATTATTATTATTATTCAGACCACAGACATGGCTCAGGAGGACTTGTGATGATAAAAAACAACAACTCTGTAGACATATATGAAAACAGATAGTTATTTATAAAATTGCTTTAGTAAGTCATCTGTTTTCCAAAGTAGCTTTACACATGAAATGTGGCATGTACCTTAACATAGTGTCATTTACACTAATTTGGATATACCTATACATATCAATGTTCAAATAAATGTTTGATGAAGTTATAAAAATATTTCAAAATTAACGAGCAGCCTGGGAACAACTACCTTCTCAATGTGATCTTCCGAAGTAGTTCTCTATCATTTTCAGATGGCCAAGTACACAGAAGTAATACTGTTGCTTACCATGAAATTGATAGACACATTAAGCATTCAGGGTTTTAACATAAACAAAGTCATTTAGAATGTATTAAAGATATAAGAAAATTCAAAGACCTTACAATGGAGAATATATTATGCATTTGCCCAGTGTTCCACAAAATTTAAGATCCACTGCCATAGACAGCAGTGATTTGAGTGATATATATGTAAAACCTCAAAATTAAATCAAAATAAGCTGTCCCAAAGTGTCTTATCAGAGTATAATTAAAAAATATACACGATGGAACTTTTTAAAATTCTTGACCCACCCTGGAATCTTTATTTCTGAAAACCCTTTAAAATATAGAGGAAAACTCCAAGTGCACTGTTGTTAAAGTAAAAATAAACAGAAGGCTGTTTATACAGAAGGTTGTTTATATGAAAGCCAGAGTTGTGGTTTTATTAAGAGGAACAAAGTAACATCTAATTCAGCAGCTCAAACTAATTCAGCAGCTCAGACAGTCTTGGTGGGGTGAGGATGGCGGGGGGAATCCGGCTGCAGATGTGAAAGAATTTGAAATCAAAGACTAAAACACTTTATATTTCTGATGTCTGTTTTCCTCACATGCATTAACTTTCTATAGGCTATAAAATATTTTGCATGTCAAGATTTCTTTAACCTATCTGTAAGCAAGCACTATTCCTTGCTAATCACCCTTTGTATGTCTGAATGGGCTAGCATGCGCATCTCTTATTCAATCAACTATGAAGAAAACAAATGACAAGTTGTGTAACGTACCTGGTAACATTACAGTACCATCTTGTTCCAGTGTTTCAGGGCTTATTCTTATGGCTGTCATGCTGTGGTTATTCACATCTCTATACAATAAATAACCCTAACAACAACAAAAAATTTTGCTATGTTATGTATTAAAATAATTTTTCATTACCAACTTAGCAGAAAAAGTAGCCATTCAAGTCTGTATCACAGTTTTTTGAGGTACAATAATACATCAACACTGAGGTCCACAATAGATTAAAGATTAAAAATATAAGAACATGGGTAAACTTTAATAAGAGGAGAACTGGTACACCGCTGGGTATCAACCCATTATATTATCAGATACATATATTAGACACTCTACATAGGACAGTACAAACATTTTGTTCAAAATTATTATATCACTTGCTAACTAAATAATGGAAATGACCAGTGTTACTTTAACAAATATTTTAAGGAAAAATAACAAATATTTAGCTCAATCTAAAAATAAATATAATAGTGGCTTTAGATGGAGTGATATGCCATTGAACATATTTCTGTAATAATGTATTTTCCATGGTATTATTTGTCAGATAAAATACAGTAGTGGCAAATAAAAATTCGATGAGACATTTTAAACCAGATTAAATTATAAGAAATAACTGCTGATAACCCGACATTTAAAATTTTAATTTCAAAATCTTCCCAACAGGGGGTTGATCAGGATTGTTTTTCATGTAACAACAGTTTCTTTAATTTTCAAAAAGCTTTCAAGTATCTTTTATTATTTGATGCTGACAACAAACTATAAACTGGACAAGGGACATCTTGATTCTATATCCTTCCACAAAAGAACTTGGCTTCACCTCTCAGGAAGGGACAGTACACAAATAATCACTTCTGGCCCCTATGTCCCTCATTCATTTGCTTCTCTCTGTAGGAGGAGTGATGTATCTGATTGTTGACATCCTTTTGGCCATGTCAGTCAGATGATGAGATCCCAGCACTAAGAAAGCAACATGGGCCCAGCTCTTTTTTCTTTGTTGATACTTTGCATGATCCTCCACACAGGTAGCTATCTAGTGGAAAGGCCACACACTATTCCCCAGAAGGTACTGATCTAGATGTAGAATAAACGAGTTTATGGCAAGAAGCTCTAATTTGCCCTTGGGTCACAGCTGCATTCCCAATTCAGATGTGCTAATAATAAAGGTCTTTGAGTCTTATCTAAAGGTTCACTTAAACAAGACTTTCAACAGGAAACATTTTTATTCCCATTTTATAGCTAAATCAGAGGATCAAATAAGTTAACTGAGTTGTCCAAAGTGTCACAGCTAGTAAGCAAGGCCAGAACTAAAAATAAACCCCTTATGAATTCTAAGCCGATGTTCTTTACACTACATTAAATCACTGTAATAGCCACATTATTAAAAACATATTGTACCTATTTAAATAGAAATGATATGATTTATTGATTAAACAACTATGAACTGCATGTTTTAAAAGATGAGAAAGAAAAGTATGGCTTATCATGAATATTCTCCTACCTGAGCATACCCTAACCAAGACTTTTTTTCTTTTCTGTTTCTGATGCGAGATGTAGAATTGTATATATGGCCCTGCAAAATAACAAAAGTTAGTCTATCAACAATTTTATAGTTAATAACCAATGAAAAAATCACATAAATGGATGACATGTGTGGTAATGCATGTTTCCATTATGATTTTCAAAGAAATACTATTATATCAAAATTAGATGGTCCTCTAAAAATGGAGCTAGAAACACATTCAGTGTGGATATAACTTATGCTATGATTAAGAATGGTAAGAAATCTCATTACCCTCACTGTTCCACTGTAGCCAGAGCCTATTTTGTACAATCCATCCTTGCATAACAGATACAGAAAAAATCCGTCATTCTGAAGTAGACATTGATCATCTTCATCAACTGATATTTCTTTCAATGGCCACTTGTGCATTAATGCTGCTTTCTTAATGCCATTGCTAAACCAGTCCTGAATTTGAATTTTTCCCACCAACACTGCCTGTACACTTCTCTGTAGTGAATTTAGAATTGTTGGCACCTATTCAAAAGAGAAGGAAAAAAACCAAAAAGATATTGTTAAATGTCCCAAACACAAAACAGAAAAAAATAAAGATACTTCAGTCATATATCACCATTTATAAGAAAATAAGTTGCTATAAATGCATCAAATGTAATGAAATACCTAGGAATACACTAAACCAAGGAGGTGAAAGGCCTGTACTCTGAAATTATAAGATACTGATGAAAGAAATTGAAGACGACACAAAAAAATGGACAGATACTATGCTCATGGATTGCAAAAACTAATAATTGTTAAAATGTCCATACTAACTCCAAAAATTTAGAGTCAATGAAATCCCTATCAAAATACCAATGGCATTTTTCACAGAACTAGAATAGTCCTAAAATTTGTATGGAGCCACAAAAGACCCCAAATAGCCAAAGCAATCTTGAGAAAGAAGAACAAAGCTAGAGGTATCACATTTCCTGATTTCAAACTATACAACAAAGCTAGAGTAAACAAAACAATATGATACAGGCACAAAAACAGACACATAGATCAATGGAATAGAATAGAGAGCCCAGAAATAAACCCATGCATATATGGTCAATTAATTTACGACAAAGGAGACAAGAATGTGCAGTGGGGAAAGAACAGTCTCTTCAATAAACGGTGTTGGGAAAACTGGACAGACATACATGCAAAAGAATGAAACTAGAACCCTTTCTTACACCATATACAAAAATAAACTAAAAATGGTTTAAAGAGTTAAAAATAAGACCTGAAACCATAAAACTCCTAGAAAAAAACATAGGCAATAAATAAACTCTCTGACATCCGTCTTAGCAATGTATTTTTGGATCCGTCTCTTCTGGCAAGGGCAACAAAAGCAAAAAAAACAAACGGGACTACATCAAACTAATAAGCTTTTGAATAATGAAGAAAACCATCAACAAAATGAAAAAGCAATGTAATGAACTTTTTGAAATGATATATCCAATATGCAAAATATATAAAGAGTCCATAGAATTCAACAGAGAAAACGAAGAACAATCTGATCAAAAATGGGCAGAGGACATGAACAGATACCGTTTTTTGCCATGTATTATGTGCTCCCGTGTACAATGCACAGCCACGTTTTTAACCCAAACTCTGAGGGAAAAAAATCTTTCATTTTAATTTTTTAATTCAAATTTTTATTTGTTTACATTTAGGTACTTGTTTTTTGTATTATAAATGAATTTGGGCATTTATTTTTTAACATATTATGTCTGGTACAAGAAATTTTATGTAACAAATAATTACAAAACCCAAGAACAGACAGAAGGTACATGAAATTTTACATACTGGTAACAAATTTACGATATTTACACATCATAGAAGACCAAGAACTATTCGTCAGCAAGTTCATTGTAAGTTCAACAAAACTGATTATTATATTCCAGCGTATTAATTTGCATACAGATATCATTATTGATTTCTAGAGTTACACTTTTAACTCAAAAGCATAAATAAAAGAATTAAAAACATTTATATATATATGGAATTAGTACTACCCATGTATAATTAGCATCTTTTTCTCTCATAAATTTGGGCAAAAAAGGGCATATTACACAGCAAAATACAGTATTTTTCCAAAGATATACAGATGACTGACAAACAATGAAAAGATGCTCAACTAATCATGAAGGAAACGCAAAACAAAACCATAATGAGCTATCACCTCATACCTGTCAGAATGGTTATTATCAAAAAGACAAAATATAACAAGTACTGGCCAAGATGTGGAGGAAAGCAAACCCTTGAACACTGTTGGTGGGAACGTAAATTGGAATAGCTACTATGGAAAACAGCATGGAGGTTCCCCAAAAGTTTAAAAAGAGAAAAACCATACAATCCAGCAATACCACTTCTGGGAATTTAACCAAAGAAAATGAAGACACTAATTTGAAGAAATGTGCACCCCTATGTTCACTGCAGCATTATTTACAATAGTCAAGATATGGAAGCAATTTAAGTAACCATCGATAGATGAATGGATGAAGATACAGTACATATACACAATGGACTATTACTCAGCCATTACAAAACTGAAATCTTGACACTTGCAGCAACATGGTTAGACCTAGAGGGTATTAGCTAAGTGAAATAAGTCAGAGAAGATAAATCAGTATTTCTGTATGATTTCACTTATATATGGAATCCAAAAACAAAACAAACCAACAAAACAGAGAGATTCATAAACAGACTGAAAAAATGATGGCTACCAGAGGAAAGGGGAGTGGGAGGATGGGTAAAATAAAGGGGATTAAAGAGGTACAAACGTCCAGTTAGAAAATAAATAAGCTGCAGGGATGTGATGTACAACACAGGGAATACAGTCAATGATGTTGTGATAACTCTGTATGATGACTGATAATTACTAGTCTTATTGTGATGATTAGTTTGTAAGTCAAATCACTATATTGTACACCTAAAACTAATATAATATTGTATGCCAACCATATTTCAATAAATTGTTCAAAGCAATCATGTTTGTCATGTCAGCAAAAAGTACAAAGTACAGATACTATTTGTATCTATAAGATACATATTTCAATAAATTGTTCAAAGCAATCATGTTTGTCATGTCAGCAAAAAGTACAAAGTATAGATACTATTTGTATCTATAAGATACAAATCTCAACGAGGTCAGAATAAAAATGTCAAATCCAAATAATATTAACTTGTATTTTTTACAAAAAAACACTGAAATATGCCTCTTTCTCCAAAACACCAGAACCAGTACTTCCTATTGTTTTAAGTTTTGTGGACAAAACATACTAGATTAGTAAGAAGTATACATATTGGACATAAATAAAATTATTTTTGTATTAGAGTGCGCACAAGCCAAATGATATCTGGCTTATGATATGGATAATCATGAATATGCTTCATGATAATGAAGCACAAAATTTAGCATAAGAGAAACAAGACTGCTGCTACAGATGAACTAAAATTTCCAGTGTTTTTCTTCAATTTTGCTTCTCCATTATGCCTATTACCCATTATCATCAACAATTTTCCATGATATAAAAACTTAATTGTGTTAATTGTGTATTCATTCAGAATTCATTTAACCAATATTTATCAAAGATTTGCGAAGTACCTGGCGTTGTAAACAAGTCCTCAACGGTCACCAGCATGGGACCAATACTGTGACACCAGGGACTTTCTGTTTCTCATCTTTTGCCTCTTTCATCACCCAAGGAGGACTGCCACCTGTCTGAATGCAGGGCCAGACCCCAGGGCACTGCACTCAGCCATGGTTCTACATGGGCGCTGTCCACTAAGGCAGCCACTAGCCATATGTGACTACTGAGGTCTTGAAATGTGGTGTGACTTGAGAAATGCTTTAAGTGTAAAATGCACACTTGATTTGAAGACTTCGTATAAACACAAGAATATAGAATATTATTAATTTTATATTGATTACATGTTGACATTTTTATTTTTAATATATTGAGTTGAATAAAATTCATTATTACAATTAACTTCACCTGTTTCTTTCACCTTTTAAAGTGACTAATAAAAAAATTTTAATCACACATGTAGATTATATTTCTATTGGACAGCACTGTTCTAGGGGGTAGAACTTTCAAAGGGATAACTGACTGACCCACACGAAGTTTAGCAGTTTCATTGGAGGACCCTCCCACATATACACACACAAATGCCTGCATCTGTGGGCCTTTTTCATTCTTTCTCCAAAGCAGAATCAGCCAATCTTTTTTCCCTAGAAGCTAAATTAAGCCTCACTGCCAGTGTTTTGGGAACTTAGTGGTGATTAAGAAATTTCATCATCAACAAGGAGACTGTCACTTAATTTCCATTTTCAGCCTGGCTCTTCAACTCCACTTTCAAATATGCCTGGTTTCCCATGGCCTCTGGCTCAGTTTCTTCAGACAGCAAACCCATTTCTTAGAGGTATGAGAGGACAGCTTCCCAGTTGGGAAGGATAGAGGAAGGGCTCTCAGTTTCTCTACCTTTCGTTACACAGATGTCCAATCAATTTTTAGCTCTTCCCCTCATCACTACTTTCTAGTAACTATTATTTCCAGTTCTGAATCCTATTTGGAGTTTTAGGGGAAAACCAACTTACTAGCTATGGATATTAGTCCAATGATGAACTTAAGTTTAAGCTTTCCCCAATTTCTATCATCCAAAGATGTGTCCCATTCTTAAATGTTTGTACTTTAAAAAAAACAAATTCCCTTATTTATAACCTTAGTGGAGACTGGGGAGAGAGCAGACATCAACACATCAGCATGCATCTTCACCATGGCTATGTGTCTCATGCTTTCTAACAGTACTAAAGAAAACCCAGTGGTACAATAAGAAGTCTCAGGTATATCGCTTTTTCTTTCTTATCGAGTTTCACTCTGCAACACAGCAGCAGGGCCTAGAAAATTTATTCTGATAAACTGGACTTCCCTAATCTGAGGATTCCATGTCATTCACCAATTCTGGAAAATCAGCCATTATTTAAAGTACTGCCTTTCCACAAATCTATTGTCTTGTGGAACTCAGATTATACTAACACATTAGACCTTCTCATTCTCTGTCCATGTTTCTTCTTTTATCTTTTATATTTTTTCTTTGTCTCTCTGCGCTGCATTCTGAATAATTTCTTCACTATTTCTATCTTGAATTATATTATCCACTGGTTAATTAATCGTTTAGGTTTCTAATTTCAATTATTTGGTTTTTCATTTTCAGGAGTTCAATTTAGTTTGTTTTCTGATCTGATTACTTTATATATTATTATTCTTTAGTAATACATTTGATACTTTCTTTTATTACTTTAACCATATTATATAAATATATATGCATGTACATACATACACATATACTTATATTCTATGTCAAATAATTTCAATATGTAAAGGCTTGGCAGGATTGTTTCCTACATTTGTTTATACAAGTTTTCAGTGATGGTGCCTTTTTTCCATATGCTTTTTGTTTGTGAGCTTAGATGCACTGGTCTTTTGTCTATA